TGACTGAAACTTAATAAAAACTATTTTATGTTTTTTAAAAAGGAGGAAGAGTTATCGACTCAAATAAGTAACTAGTACAGACCGGTTTGAGTTCAAGGCCTGGATGACATCATTGGGGCTCATTCTCTCAACAGCTCTCTGTTCTACTTTCCCTGGAAACCCTCCGTCATCACTGTGGCTCTCCCTGTCATGGCAATAAGATATCTTTCTGTGTCTTGGGGAATGTATCCTCTCCCCTCAGTGCACACAGAGAAAGGAGTGTCTCTCCCCGCACAGTTCACAGAAGTTCTGGAATTGCATCTCACCTGGCTCTCATTGGTCTGTGTCCATTTCTGAACCAACCACTGTGGGCAGGTAGTTCAATGGTCACATTCCCACTCCTGGAGTCAGCAAACCACAAGGACAGCGAGCACAGAACAGTGAGTTTCTCCAGGAAAATCAGGATGTTCCCACCAGAGGGAGGAGGAAAAGGAAACAAGAGATGTCCATTAGAGAGTCAAATCGGCCGTCTAGCCTAGGACCCCACTGATAGCAAAAGAGGTTTTATGAAAAGTCACCAAGAAAATAAGAAGCCCCCAAGTCAGACCTCTTTCTGTGTTCTGTGAAGCTTAGGCTTGCAGCGACCATACGGACCTGCACATTCCTCTGAAAGGATAAGGACAGCTTGATGTAGAGAACAGGACTTCTCAACCACAGCACTTTTAACATCGGGGCTGGTCATTCTTTGTTGTGGGGTCTGTCCTGGGCACTGTCGGGTGCTTAGCAGCATCCCTGGTCCCCACCCACTAGACGCCAATACCACCCTCACACCCATTCCCAGTTGTGAAACAGAAATGTCGCCAGACTTTGCCAATGTCCATTCCCCAAGTAAAAAGCACCAGGTAAGAAGGCATGATAAAAGAAAAGAAGGGGTTGCCCTAGCCAGTTTGGCTCAGTGGATAGAGCGTCCGCCTGCGGACTGAAGGGTCCCAGGTTTGGTTCCGGTCAAAGGCATGTACCTTGGTTGTGGGCACATCACCGGTAGGGGGTGTGCAGGAGGCAGCTGATCGATCTTTCTGTATCATCGATGTTTCCAACTCTGTATCCTTTCCTCTCTGTAAAAAATCAATAAAATATATTTTTTTAAAAAAGAAAAGAAGGGCTCTCAATACTAACCAGGAAGACAAACCCAAGTCGCCTGGTCCAGCTGGCTGCCCCTGCAGTCTGGGGCTTGCGCGGTGGGAGTCCTGGGCAGAAGCATTGGGTTCCTGGACTCTAGGAACCAGAGCCAGAGATAGTCCAGTCTTGCTCCAGAACTCCAGGCGCTGGCCTGAGAGGCGCAGGGTGTCTCCTCAAAGTCAGGCTTAATGTAACACAGGTCTTACCACTACTGAGGGCCTGCCGTATGCAAGGCACTACTGGACGCCCCATGCATTTCCTCACTTAATCATCAGGTCAACACTCCAGGAGAGATGTTAGCTTCCTTTGACAGAGGAAAAAACTGAAGCCCTGAGAACTTAACTGCCCCCAGATCACATTAGTAAATGCTAAAGCTGAGATTCAAACCTCGTCCATCAGAGTCCGCCCCTGAATGTCCACATCTAACGGCCATCTGCATTCAAGCTCCCATGACTTACAATTTATATTCCAGTTTCTTTTCGCTTTGAGATCTTATATTATCTTTTCTCTTGTTCTGCTCCCTGCTCTTTTGGTTTTTGCTTTGAGAGTTTTGTCTCTTTATCTCTGCAGGCCTAATATAACAAAGGAACCAATGAATAACTATGGCTCACCATCAGGTGAGTAGCCACAGGTCACCATTTCTCTTGGAGAGTTGGTCATTTTAGAGATTTGTTCCATGCATTCATTTAGAATTGGGGCAGAGGGCACTCTGTCTGGATCTACAGTGATCATTTTATGACCTCATAGTATGATGAGGGGACATATGGTTGGGACTTAGACGACCAGTTTTAATTTTGGCCCTGCTACAAACTTGCTGTGCAACCCTGAGAAAATGATTTAACATCCCTCAGTCTTCACTTTTTCAACTATAAGATTGGGGGGCTTGGATTTATTAAACAACAACAACTCTCCTAGCAATTTGACCACAGCACTAACGCTAAAATTAATTCCGTAACCATTTAGAAAGTCTGAAATATTTTGAACAGGCTCAAAAACTGAATGCTGCTTCGCAGGGAGGTGGCTGGAGAGAGCTCCTCAGTGTGGAGTCCCAGCTGGAAGCTGACTTCAGCTGTACTCATGGGGACAGAGAAGGGGGCAGGGCTGTGTCACCTGAGTCTGGATAGAAAAGTGAATTAAAAATGCATGCCAGGCTGCAGGAGGACACCTAGTGAATTAGTTATGGGCCTCGGACGTCTCCATTGCAGCTGTGGCAGGGAGGCAGGGGATGGGCACGGCGTGAGGCCCAGCTTCCGAATAGCACTGTAAACAGAGAGCCCCGCTCAGAAGGCCGTCCTCATTGGGTTGGGGTGTAGCCCTGGCGCAGAAAGAGCCTGCCCCTGAGTATTAGGTTAGCATGGTTCGTTTAGCAGATGAGGGGCAAGCACTGCTCACACCACAGGGCAAACACGGGCCAACCCTCTGACTTCTGTCTCCTCAGAAAGTAGGGGCGCCCCGCAGCAGGAACAGGGACCCTGCAGAGATGACAGGGTGTCCCGATCCTGTACCAGAGAACAGTGACCTCTGAAGGCCAGAGGGAGTCCGTAGAATGGGCGCCCCTCCCCTTTCTCCCTCTCCCATCCCCACCTCAGCTGCTGCCAAACTCTTTTCTGTTCTGAGTCCTCCGGAGGGGATCTCTAAGGGATGCTCACAGCCTAAGAATTGGAAACCCACCTGAGATGAGGGGGACCCACCCGAGTTTCACAGTAAAGATGACCAGAGAGCTGGAGATGAAAACCCCTGGGGAGTGGCCAGGGAAAGGAGCCTCTTCCTCTCTCTGCCCACGCCACGTGCCAGGTGCTGGGTGCCAGGTGCTGGGTGCCAGGTATGTGATGGGGAGGGGAAGGCCCAGAGGATGCTGGGAAACCACTCAGCTCCTCTGGCTCCTCAAGTCCTGGGCAACTACAAGGCCTGAGTAGGAAAGGACAGGCTTCTGCCCTGGTCCTAGGAAAAGGCAGTCCCAAGCAGTGAAGAGGAAGGAGACTGTGCAGAGAATGACTTAGTGTGAAAGGAGGGAGGAGAGAAATGTCAGACAGCTCCTCGCTGGGCAAGGTGTCTGGGAGGTGCCAGCATCAAGGTGGGCGGAAGACATAGCAAACCAGCAGCAGACAGAGGGCTTGGAGCTCAGGGGTCATGCATTGGGGGTCATCAGTTAGCAGGCAGCAGTTGACACTTGGAGGGTGGACGAGTTTGCATAGCAGAAGATGATAAATACTGAGAAGATAAATAACAAAAACCTCATCTTAAAATGTCCTTTGTTGAGATGCTGTGTTTCCTCTGCCAGGTCACTTTTGGCTAGTAGGAAGTCACATATAAACATTGCAAAAATGTTAAAGTCACAGTTAAAAGGCCAGCCAGGCCCTGGCTGGTTTGGCTCAGTGTGCAGAGCATTGGCCTGTGGACTGAAGGGTCCCGGGTTTGATTCCGGTCAAGGGCACATGCCCAGGTTGTGGGCTTGATCCCCAGTGGGGGGCGTGCAGGAGGCGGCCAATCAATAATTCTCTCTCATCATGGATGTTTCTATCTCTCCCTCTCCATTCCTCCCTGAAGTCAATAAAAACATTTTTTAAATAAAAATAAAAATAATTTTCTATATTCAAAGCCCCTATAACAGTTGCTGACACATAGTAGGAGCTGAATAAATGTTTTTGAAAGAGGCAAAAGTTTCAGGCACCAACAACAGGCAATGTTAGTTCTCTGGCTGATCAGGGAATCATTTACTCTCATCCAATGCCCCGACCCCACCCCCTCTTCCCCATCTAAAATTTAGGTGAATTCCTGAGTTGTTCTCTGGACAAGAAAGACATTCACTGCTTTATTGTCTAAAAACATGTATGCAAATCATTTGTTTTTGCTAAAGATCAAGTCAGGCTAGTGGCTAGCCCCCTCTAACAGCAGAAAAAATAAATAGGACATAGTAAGGACAGGGCTTAAAGGAAATGTCTACCTACTTTAGTTAATTTGAAGAGTTTATTTTATAAGAAACTGTGTATTTGTAGGATTATAAATGAGAACTTCCAGGCCTCCCAGGCTCTATTTGGTGACGCTAAATCTCCTTCCCGCCACTCCCCATGCCCCCTTAGGAGCAGGGCTCACAGGACAGCACCTTCCCACCAAATCTGCAGAATAGACATAATTACTACCATCAGGGTGAGTGACAGAAACACTGTCATTAAAAATGTTGTGTAATTTCCCTCTTGTTTTTGCCTGTAGTGAATTAAGATCATTTCCCTCTCCTCCTGAAAGGATTCAGCTGTCCTGCTTCTCTTTCTCCCCTAGTCCCCTCCATTCCACTCCCCACCCCTTCACCCTTTACTTCTCCCTCCTATTCCCATCCCCATCAGCCCCTGACTCACCTCCCAGTGTTTTCTCTAGGATCTGACCAGAAGCCTCCCCATTTCCCTTTTAATTTAGGGTTTCGATGTCTCTCTGGCGAGGTCACTAACCTTTATTTGGGAGATTGGGAGCCATTACCGTCACCACCCACCACAGGCAGCTGCCCAACTCTCTAGCCTTGGACTTTGGCCGGAAGGAAGCATTACCGCCAAGCGCAGGCTTTGGTAGGAAGCCTGTTTGTCACATAGATTGTTGGCTGTGGTTTTTATTGGGGTGCAGTGGGAACTGAACTGTAAATGGCCGTGTTTAAAGCCAATCCGGCAGCGGGGAAGCTTGGAGCCAAGTCAACTTTCTGCTGCAAGTGACTGCAGCTCTGAGAAGCAGGGAGTCTGAAGCAGGAACTAGCAAGACCAAGTGTTAATTAAAAAAACTAAATGCAATTATGAAATTACCATTTGTATTAGTTTCCTAGGGCTGCAACTATTACAAAATGGATGGCTTAAAACAACAGAAATGTATTCCCATGGAGTTCTGTAGGCTTCAAGTTCAAAATCAAGGTTTCGCCAGGACATACTCCCTCCAAAGCATGTAGGGCAGGATACTTCTTGCCTCTAGAAGTAGTCCTTGGTGTTCGTTGGCTTGTAGATGTGTCACTCCAACTCTGCCTCCATCTTCATATGGCCTTCTTCTCAGTGTATCTCTGTGTTTCCTCCTCTTTTTTTTTCTTTAATCTTCACTGGAGGATATGTCTTTTATTAATTTTAGAGAGAAAGGGAAGGAGAAACATTGATTTGAGATTGAACCTGAAACTTAGGTATGTGCCTTGACCAAGAATCGAACCCAAAATCTTCTGGTATACGGGATGATGCTCCAACCAACTGAGCCACCCAGCCAGGGCCCCTCCTCTTCTTTTAAAGACATCATCTATTGGATTTAGGATCCACTTTAATCCATATGTTCTCATCTTAATTAATTATATCTGCAAAGACTATACCCAAATCTGAGATTCCAAGTGGACATACATTTTGGCGGGATATTATTCACCCAGTACACAATTTAAAAGATATAGGAAAATAGATTTTTTAAATATTTTCTCTGAATTTCTTCATATTCTCTTGTATATCTTTCAAATATTCTCCAGAAGAAGGGAGCGATTAATCGCAAAGAGTTTTCATAAAGCTAATTTAAATTTAGGGGCTTTGAAAATAAATTCAAGACAATCCTCATTCATGTTTTTTTCAGCTCAATGCACACATCTCATTGGAAAAGGGTCCTTTCCTTCTCAGCCCACCTCTCCCACCTCCCGGAGTCAGGGGCTGTCACAGGTGCCTACTTACCTGAGAAAAAGGGACAGCCAGTAAAAACTGTCAGAAACGTCAAGGGGCTGAAGTGTGGAAGAAAGATCAGATCCCTCAGGACTTTCAAAGCCTCATTTTAGAGTGAATTAAAATGTATTTGTGTAAACTTTATATGAACTTTTCTTAAAATGGAACCAAATAGTGTTCAGTAACTAGAACAAAGATTGCCTTCCTATTATTTAAATTTCCAGTTTCCATGTTCACATAGTTCTAGTGATAGGGGGCGAGTCAATTATTCAGGTCTAAAACCTGATTTCAAAAACAAAAACAAAAACAAAAAAATAAACCAATATTTTTTTTAAAAAAAAAAAAGCACTGGTCTCACCCAACTAGCATGGCTCAGTGGTTGAGCATCGACCTTTGAACCAGGAGATCACGGTTCAATTCCTGGTCAGGGTACATGCCCAGGTTGTGAACTTGATCCCCAGTGGGGAGCAGACAGGAGGCAGCTGGTCAATGAATCTCTCTCATCATTGATGTTTCTATCTCTCTCTCCCTTTCCCTTCCTCTCTGAAATCAATAAAAAATATTTTTTTTTTAAAAAAAAGAAGACTATCATATTTTTAAGAAATAAAAATAAATAAAAAGCACTGGTCTCAACCAGAAGTGACTTTGCTCCCTCCCCTCGCCCAGGACATGTTGTAATATTTGGAAACATTTTTGGTTGTCATGACTAGGAGGGGTGCTGTTGGCGTCTAGAGAACAGGAATGTGGCTGAGTATCCTGCAATGCTCAGGAAGCCCTTCACAACAAAGAATGATCCAGCCCAAAACATCAATGGTGCCCAAACTGAGCTCTGGTCTAGCTTGTAGAAAATCTCTCTAAAACCATACTCAGATCAAGTTTCTCTCCTGTTCAAATGACTGCACATTATCTTTGAGAATTGAAGCTCCTTGGCCTTAAGTTCTTCAGAACTTTCCAAAGGTTGCCTTTCCAGCCTTTTCTTTCACTACTTCCAATATGAACTCTTCTTACCCACCACCCTGGACCTACACATAACATTGCTCAAGCTCTTCACAGCTCACCTTACTTTGAAAGTGTTTCCCGTTCTCACACTCAAACTTTACCTGTCCTTCAAGAACCAGCTCAAGCTCCAACCCCTTCTAGAAACTCTTTGGGACCAACCCTGTCCTCTCAGTCTCATCTAGCATCCCTCTCCCCTCACTGTGTACACTCCAGCCACACCTGTCTCCTTGCTGTCCCACTAATACATCAAACTCTTTTCCACCTCTCTTTTCCTGGCTCCTATGTGACTCGCTTGTTATCCTTTGGGTTTCAGCTTAAACACCATTTCTTCAGAAAGACCCGAGCTGAACCTCCTAGTCACTCCCAGAATTCTCTGTCATTGCTCTATTTGGTTCCTACATAGTGTTAACCACTGTGTAGTAAACTGTCTGTTCACAGGTTTGCTTATTTCTGCCTTTTTTTCCTTCTCACATTAGAATATACAACACTCTGAGGGCAGGAGACTTGTCTAGCTTGTGCATCACTATGTCCCCAGCCCCTTCACAGTACCATGAGTCTGACTCAAAATAGATGTTCAGTAAATAAATGAATGAATACCTCAACTTATATGCCGGTGTTTGGTTATTGAATTCTTTTTTAAAAAATAATATATTTATTGATTTCAGAGAGGAAGGAAGAGGGAGAGAGAGATAGAAACATCAATGATGAGAGAGAATCATTGATCGGCTGCCTCCTGCATGCTCCCAACTGGGGATAGAGCCCGCAACCCAGGTATGTGCCCTGACCTGGATTGAAACTTGATCTCCTTTTTCATGGGTCGACATTCAACCTCTGAGCAACACTGGCTGGGCTTGTGTTGTCATTTTTATTTGACTTTAATAACAACCCATATTTTATAGATGAGAAACCTACAGTTCAGAGAAGTTAAGTATCTAGAAAGTAGTTGTACAACTTAGTAATCACAGAGTCAGGACTGATTCCTGGCTTAATGCTCTATTGTTGATTCATAATTCCTTGTAAGGCCTACAATATGCCCTTGGCTGGAATCGAACCTGGGACCCTTCAGTCCGCAGGCCAATGCTCTATTCACTGAGCCAAACCGGCTAGGGTGATTATTGAATTCTTAAAGTATATCTTCCTTATGCTCAAGAGCAGAGCAGCCCTGCCCCCTCTGTACAGCACAATGCAGTTGGTAACTAATAATTATGCATTGGGTGAAGAAGTGCCTGTGACAAATATACTATCTATAGAGCTTACGTTCCAGTCTCCACAGCAGACCTACTTTATACTTCATTCTGAATGATTGATGGTGAAAACAGCATTCTCACTGGTTAGGTTAATAACTGGGTAGGTGCTACATTCTGATATACATTTCAAAATTGCTACACTTCAATTTTACTCCACTAATATGCCTTGTTTATTATCACTGGGCTTTATACTCCTTCTAGGGGTAAATTTTACAAAACCTATGCAAAGACCTGGCAGAGAGCCTCTCAATTCTCTCTTGGTTTTTCTCCCCAGGGACAGTTACAAAGGACCATCACTGTATTTACAAAGCATTTTACCATAAGTTCCTCCAGTCGCTGGTGGCAGAGATGCTAACTATCTCCATATACCCCTTTTCCTCTTCTTTCACTGTTGGAGAATTTTTAGTTGGGACATGGCCACCCAGTTCAGACCACATTTCTCAGACACCTTTGCACTGAGGTAGGCCATGGGACTAAGTTCTGGCCAATGGGATGTGAATGGAAGTATGTGTGCAGCTTCCAGATGGTGAGCTTGAAAAGTAAGTGCCTTCCCTTGCTTTTTCTTTTCTGGCTTAAATATGGATGAGATAGTGCCCACCATGTAGATGAGGGCAATGTCCAGAGATGGCAGAACCAGGAGAAGGTAATTGGATTAAAGACATTATAATTGCTGTGCAGCCCTGAATTGCTTAAACTCAGAAGTTTCCATGAGAGAGGAAACTTTCTACCTTGCTCAATTAACTTTTATTTGGGGCCTTGTTCTAAAAGATGACCTGCTAGCCCCCTCCTTTCCTGCCTTCCCCACTAAGGAAGTCAGCAGTACCAGCACCATTTTGCCAAACTAAAGCGTCCACTTTGTTCAATAAAATCAGCAGAAATGCCAGAGTTGAGCTAGTACCTCCTGGGACATGTTTTCCTCGGCCTCCTCTGCCACCCAAGCTTCTCTTTTGCTTGCTATCCTTGGCCTTCTCTTAGCTCCTTCCAACCTTGATCTTGCCCATGGGTACTAATCAGGTGGCACAGCATGATCTGAATAAAGGATATTTTGAGAGACCCTGAGCGGGCTTGTCTTCTGCCAGCAAGTTTTTTACATTCCCAGGTGGAACTTGCCCCGTTCTCTTTTCTCGGCTTCCCCTGAGGTTTCATTTACTGCACCAAGACAGAAGCACAGTTCCTTCCGCCGAGATGCCTCCAGAGCTTGTGATCTGAGCCTGTTGCTGTGGATTGTTTTCAGGTTATCAGAGACCCCTCACACAGTAATACTCGTTACTGATATCAGAGTGCTTTCAAATGGTCTCCATTTACCTTCCATCATCCACCATTTGTTGAAAATAGATGATTATAGTGTCCCTAAGTGTTCTAAATGGAAGCAGCCAAGAAAGGTGGGGCAAGTCAGTTTATTTATGCAACAAGTGTATTTGGAGCACCTGCTCAGATACCATCCTAGGCACTGAGGATACATCAGTGAGCAAGAGAGATGAGATCCCTGCTTCATGGAGCTCCCATTTCAGTTGGAGACACAGACAAGGAAAAAAGAAAGGTGCTGGGGCCTTTCTGCAGCTGCAAGGGTTCAAGGAATCTGGAAAAGGGGCTGCTCGTAAATGAATAAACAAGAAATATAAATTTGGAAGGCATGTGGGGGGAGCCAAGGAAGGCTCCACTTTCTAGTGAAGTGGGCTTTCTGAATGTCTGAACCCACAGCTTTTTATTCACTGGAAAATACATTGGCCTTTTAGGAATGCAAACAGGCATATCACAGGTAAAATTTGGTAAACAGGAAAAGATTATCAGGTTAGGCAGTGGTCGGCAAACTGCGGTTTGGCAAACCGCGGCTCGTGAGCTACATGCAGCTCTTTGGCCCCTTGAGTGTGGCTCTTCCATAAAATACTGACTTCTGCACATGGGCCACAAAGTTTCAATCGCACGGTACGTGTGCGCCCGCACGTGGTATTTTGTGGAAGAGCCACACTCAGGGGGCCAAAGAGCCGCATGTGGCTCGCGAGCTGCAGTTTGCCGACCACGGGGTTAGGGGAAATTACTTCAGCTATTCCAGCAGCAGGTAATATGCAGATTTTCAGCCCTGCTGAAGCATAAGACCCATCAGCCTTCTGATGAACTTCGTGCATAATTATGACCTGCTGGAATTAGCCTCTGACAGAAAGGGAGAAAAAGGAGGAG